ATTTGTATTTTAAAAAATGTAGCAGTGAAACAGAGCATGCACTTGAAGGTATGGTATTTTTTAAACTCTTTTAGAATGGAGGTTAAATTTCTAGAACATAAAAATAACAATTTTAAAGTGTACATTCCGTGGCATTTAGTAAATTAACAATGTTGTACAACCATCACCTCTGTCTAGTTCCAAAACTTTTCATCATTCCCAAAGGAGACTCCATACCCATTATGCAGAGTCACTCCCCGTTCCCCTCCATTTTTGGTTGCAAGTACAAATTTTAGTTCACACATGACATTTTTTACTAATTTTTAAATGCATATATATATATATTTTTGTTTTGTTTTGTTTTGTTTTGAGATGGTGTTTCTTTCTTGTTGCCCAGGCTGGAGTGCAATGGTGCAGTCTCAGCTCACTGCAACCTCCACCTCCCAGGTTCAAGAGATTCTCATGCCTCAGCCTCCTGAGTAACTGGGATTACAGGCGCCCACTACCATGCCTGGCTAAATTTTTTTGTATTTTTAGTAGAGAAGGGGTTTCACCACGTTGGCCAGGCTGGTCTCAAACTCCTGACCTCAGGTGATCTGCCCGTCTCAGACTCCCAAAGTGCTGGGATTACAGGTGTGAGCCACCATGCCTGGACATAATATATTTTTAGTTTGAAATTTTCTTTATTATTATTTGTTATAAACTGTAATGTTATCTCAGACTACAACAAACATGTAGGTATAAGTCTTCCCTGTCTATTTCTTTTTATTTTACTCTAATATTTATTTCACTTCTTTTTTCTTTTTTTCTGGCATAACAGTATATATGAAGTTCAATTTTTAACATTTACTGACTGTTTTTTTCCTGGACATTGTTATTATCTATTCCATTTTTATGATTATTACTGAAGATAACTTTGTTGTATAGATGAAGATTGATAAAAATGAATTCACTCTGGGCATCAAACAAGCCAGATTCACACTGACCATAGCTGCAGAAATGTTGCTTGGTCCTTGTTGGATCATCAGTCCTTTCATTGCTGTTTCTGCTCTGCAATTGGGGTCACAGAGCTTGCTGCCTCCTCCTCACTCTGTAGTCATGCATGGGGAGTGTAGAGGAGGAAAAAACTTTTTTCCTCTTCCTCCTGGGTTCTCCAGCTAGGGGCCTGCAAATGAGACTGACAAAAGACAGTCTAAAAAACAGGAGAAAAACAGAGTTTATTAACATGTGCAATGCACATCCTCACAGAAGGAACTCGGTGATGAGCAAGTCAAAGGGATGGTTAGGGGCTGGGGCTTATATAACATCTTAACAAAGAACAATAAATTTGTAGAGAAGTGATGAGACAAAGGAAAGGATTTTAGGATTCCAACGTGCTGTGGTTTCAATGTCCTTTCCAAGATTCATGTTGAAATTTATTGCAGGGCCAGGCATGGTGGCTCATGCCTGTAATCCCAGCACTTTGAGAGGCTGAGGTGGGAGGATCACTTGAGCCCAGGAGTTCAAGAGCAGCCTAGGCAACATAATAAGACCCCATCTCTAAAAATAATTTATTGTAGGATGTGGAGCTTTTAAGAAGTGATTAAGTCATGAAAGTTCGACCCTCATGAATGGATTAATGCTGTTATCACAAGAGTAGGTTAGTTATTGAGAGTGGGTTCCTGATAAAAAGGATGAGTTTGGCCAGATTTCCTCTCTCTCTGTTTCACGGACTCACTTCCACCTTCCTCTCTTTAACCATGGAATGAGTATTGACAGATGCAGGTGCCATTCCCTTGGACTTCCCAGCCTCCAGAACTATGAGCCAAATAAATCTCTTTTCTTTATAAATTATGCAATCTGCGGCTTCTGTTATAGCAGCAGGAAACAGACTAAGACACAAGGGCAGAAAACTGTGGGAAGATAAATATATGAGGGAAACTAATAGAAAGTCAGGATTGTCTTAGTAAGGTTTGTGGTATAGATTCCCCTCATGCTGTCACTGGGCTAATTAAAAAAAAAAAAGCCAGGTGTGGTGGCTCACATCTGTAATCACAGCACTTTGGGAGGCTGAGGCGGGCAGATCATGAGGTCAGGAGATCGAGACCATCCTGGCTAACACGGTGAAACCCTGTCTCTACTGAAAATACAAAAAAATTAGCTGGGCGTGGTGGTGGGCACCTGTAGTCCCAGCTACTCAGGAGGCTGAGGCAGGAGAATGGCATGAACCCGGGAGGCGGAGCTTGCAGTGAGCCCAGATCGCGCCACCGCACTCCAGCCTGGGCGACAGAGGGAGACTCCGTCTCAAACAAAACAGAAAAAAGTCTGGTGATTAAGCATCTAAGCCTACTTCTAGGCAAATGGTGGGGGAAGGAGAGTGTTTTTATGGTGTCCGCTGTTTTCAATTGTCTTCAGCTTCAAATAATCCTTACGCCAAAGTACAAATTTTAGGGTGGCATATTCTGATCCCCTACAGTAGCCATCTCTAGAACTAGCTCCACTCAGGAGAGACTGATGCTCCTTTAGCTTCTTCCTCTTCTCTGAGTCCCTTACATCATAGGGAAGCCCAGTGTTTCCAGCTTTCACTGCCCCTCATTAGAAATAGGTTGGAGATCTCCTCCCAGAAAACTGGCTGGGGCAGGTGAACTCAGCACACACCCTGGGGGCACAGTTCACAGAGTGGAGCAAGCTCCAGCTCATCCAGAAGATTTCATGGAGCTTCTTTTTTCAAACTACTCTCCTTAGTAGACAGGCATGTCTAAAAATAAATAAACAAACTTGGAAGTATTGCAAAATATTTTCTCTCGACAAGTATAACTGAATGATCTTGCCTCGCCAGAGGCGTGAGGACTTCCTAACCCTATCTCTATGGGTCTGACATGTTTACACCCAGCAGCCCTTAGCCTTAGTGATAGGAGATTATTTGAGCCACTTTGGAGATCTGGGTGCCCAATACTTGAGGACTATTTTTTTAGGTTTAGGTATATGTTTTAGTATTAAAGAGAAGGCTGAGATAGTATCATCAATTACCTATCCCAATGAGCCCGAGAGGTGTGATAACCAAATTGGCTTAAAAGCTTTCATCTCCTCACTCTACACACAACATTGCCAAGAACCTCCCCATAAATTGAGGCTAATCCACAGAGAGGCTGATAAAGCTCCAGCTTTGGGGCTTCTCACTTGTACAAGCTTCTTCCAAAGCTCCATACCTAATTGTGTATTCATCATTTGTGTTCTTTTTCTTACAGAGGTCTGAGGGGAAAAAGAGCCAAACTATTTTTCTCCTCCTATACTCACACAACATAGAACGTTTCTTTGATGAGCTATTTCTCCACGTACCAAGCAATTCTCCAGCAGAGACCAGCTGGATGTCCTCTAATTCAGTTTAATTCTGACACTGTCTACCTGGTGATAGTATCAGATCCCACTGGTTAAGAGCTTGGTCCCACAAGTTTGCTCCTACCCCCAACTTCAGATGCCCATCAAAAGCCCCAGGTTGTGACCTGTGCTTCTGACCACCAGCTATAAATTGGGATTCCCACAACCCCCTCCTTGGGTTTGATTTATTTGCCAGAGTGGTGAACAGAATTCAGGGGAACACTTTACTTATGTTTATCCGTTTATTATAAAGGATATCATGAAGGATACAGATGAACAGCCAGATGGAGGAGACACACAGGGCAAGGTACGTGGGAAGGGGCACAAAGTTCCCATGCCCTTTCCAAGCATGCCCTCCAGGTACCTCCACATGTTTTGTTATCCAAAAGCTCATCCAAGCTCTGTCCTTTTGTTTTTATTTCATGGAGGAGTCATTATATAGACATAACTGATTAAATCATTGACGATCAGCAATCACCTGAACCTTCAATCCCTCTCCCCAACCTGGACATTGGGGGCTGGAGCTGAAAGTCCCAATTCCCTAATCATGCCTTGGTCTTTTGGTGACCAGCTTCCATCCCACAGCTATCTAGGAGCTCCCAGCCACCAGTCATCTCATTTGCTTACAAAAAGACACTTATCTCTTTGGAGATTCCAAAGGTTTTAGGAGTCAGGTGTCAGGAACCAGTGGCAGGGACCAAATATGTTTTATTTATTATATCACAATATCATAACAGGGTTCCCCAAATTATATAAACTTCAAGCCCCACAAATTCTGGATTGACCCCTGCTTCTACATACCCCTTTAATGGACCTGTGTGAGAATTTCTAAGGGAACTATGCCCCTGAGTAGACACTTAATTTGATCAGCTAGTGCCAGATCTTTCTCCAACCTGTGCTCCCACCAGCAGCAGGAAAACCTTATTCCCACACCTCTGCCAGCATTGGCATTCTCGAGCTCTCTAAATTCTCTATGCTAATAGCTGTGTAATAGCCTTACAGCCTTACACAGCCTTGAGTGATTGTAAATTGCCTGAATATGTCACACATTTTTCTTCTGGGATACTATCAGGAGTTCTTTGTATATTCTAGATATTCATCCCCTTTGTCACTTTTAGACCTCATAATCTCTTCCCAAACTGTCATCATCTCTTCAGTTCAACTGCAATGTCACTTGTTCATAGAAATACTTAATTTTGATGTAATCCGATCTATCAATTTGTCTTGTGGCTTGTACTTTCAAAGTCTTATTTAAGGATTTCTTTACCCCTTCCAGGTCGCAATGCTTTTCTCCTGTTAACTTTATGATCTTATCTTTCATATTTAGGTCTCTTGTATGTTGGAAACTCCTTTGTATGTGGGGTTAGATATGGATCCTACTTTAATTTTCTCTATCCTTTCTTTCTGTGCCTATTTTTCTATCACCATCTACTAAACAATCCATCCACCCCCCAATTAAACTGTGGAGCCAACTCGACATTGTACAAAATTCACAGGCAAGGGCAGAGCTACCTGTGAACCATCTATTCCACTCAACTGCCACATTCAAAACAACTTTGTAGGGTGTCTTGCTATCTGGTGGGCAATTTCCCCTCTTTATTGTACCATTTGATTTAGCTCCCTGTGGAACTTATTTTTTCCTATACATTTTATTTATTTATTTTTAAAATATGGAATGCTTCACAAATTTGCATGCCATTTTTGCAGAGGGCATGCTAATCTTCTTCATATCATTTCAATTTTAGTATAGGTGCTACCACAGTGAGAACCCCTACACATTTTAGAATAAGTATATCAAGTATCTATAAAAAAAATACAGCTAGGATTTTAACTGGGATTGCACTAGTTTTATAAGTTAATTTGGGGATATTTGACATCTTTCTAATTTAAGTCATGTCATCTAAGACCTGGCATGTCTGAGGGGAGAGAAATGTGAGAAGATATTAAAGTAGATATTAATGAATGTCTTGGAGACAGTCCCAAATCCTGTCCTTACCATTGGCCTTGCTTGAGTTTGGGGGGTGGGCAATAAAAACCCATTTTAGTGAAAGAAGAACTGGGTGCAGAGGGAACTATGCTTCACTTCCCTGGGTGTGAACCAGAGGCTCTGCAAGCATATAAAAGAAGCCCCCATCTGGTAAGGATTGAGTGAGAGGCCAAGGAAGTCAGTGTCTCAGAAGCCCCCGCAATACAGCAGGGGGAAGAAAAAGCAGCCAAGCATGCCCAAGCGTGCCCAAGCACCACAGGCTTGCAGAGCCAAAGGAACCTGGGAATATGTGGGCCTGGTGACGTGAGGCCATGGTGGATTTGGGCACAAGTGGTAGATGCCAGCGCATGACTAAGAGGACAAGATGTGCCAAGTTTCGGCTGAGTCAATGCCAATGGAAGGCAGAGAATAGTGTGAGCCAGAAGCTCCCTCTCACCAGCGCCTGGGTGCTGCAGTGCCCTCTCTCTCTGCACAGGAACTGCGACAGCCTTCAGGGAGAAGATGACCTAGGAGGAGGGGAAAGATCCAGAAATTGACTATTGATTCAAGGAGTCGTGAGTTTTAAAGCAAAAGTTATCCTGAATTGATAGGTTCAGTTTTGTGGAAATAAATAGTCACATTTTATTTTTACCCCTGAGATATTGAACTATGATGGTTATATAAATTTCATATCCACTATACAACTTTTAGTTTCTGCAGACTGGATTTCAGTAGTAGAATAAAATCTGTTGAGGAGGGACTTAGAGAAATAAATGTGACGTAACTATAGTGAGGCAGGAAGAAATTGAGGCACAGGCCGGGCGCAGTGACTCACACCTGTAATCCCAGAAATTTGGGAGGCTGAGGCGGGCAGATCACTTGAGGTCAGGAGTTCAAGACCAGCCTGGCCAACATGGTGAAACCCCATCTGTACTAAAAATACAAAAATTAGCCGGGCGTGGTGGCACACACCTATAATCCCAGCTACTTGGGAGGCTGAGGCAAGAAAATGGCTTGAACCCAGGAGGCAGAGATTGCAGTGAGCCAAGATCATGCCACTGTACTCCAGCCTGGGTGACAGAGCGAGACTCTGTCTCAAAAAAATAAATTAAAAAACAAAAAAAAAAAAAAAGGAAGAAAGAAATTGAGGCTTAAAGAAACCAAAGGCTTTGCTTCTCATAAAAGTGAATTAATGGCAGTCAAATGTGGACGATTTTATCATTTCCAGGCCTCACTGTTTCTAAACTTAAACAAATACTTTGAGGGGATTCTGGAATAATCCTCCCGAGACCACAGCCCTACTCACAGAGCTCTTCTAGGTCATGGAAGCTGACCTGCAGAAGAGGGAGCACTTCAGTGTGGCCACCTCTCTGCAGAGTAAAGTCATCGCCACACAAGAAGTGTCCAGAGCATGGAGGCTGGCTGGGTTTCCTGCTGTTGCCTGGTGACGCCCTGTCTCAAACAGGATGTGCAGCCCCTCGGGAGGTCAGCCATCCTGCAGCTGGTCTGGGAAGACCCCTGGTCCAGTGGGAAGAGACGGGTGTGGCTTTTATTTTAAGAGATGGGGTCTTACTATGTTGCCCAGGCTGGTCTTAAACTCCAGTACCTCCCAAAGCATTGGGATTACAGGCGTGAGCCACAGCACCTAGCCTTGTGTGGCTTTTAAATATCCTTTGTTTATGGACTAAAATGCTCTCTAAAGAAAGGTAGATACTGCTTCTAAGATGCATTCTGTTTTAGTTCTGGCATTGGAGGAGTTTGGAGTGTTTTCTGTGTACAACTCTCCCTGTACCTCTAGCACAAACAGACAGTGAGCACCCTCTCTCCTACCCCTCACCAGCTCTAGGGAACCCAGAGGCATGGAGGCAGGCCACTTCTCCTCTGAGGAGAGCCTCCTCCATCCCATGCAGTCTTTGGGCATCAGCTGCTGCCCCTGCTGTATTGGCCAAGGGGACCCCGTCTTGTAATGGCCTCTGGTTGTAGAGTCCAGGCAGATCTCACCTTCCAACCTAGCCTTCTCTGAATTTGCTGGCCAGCCATCATCATCTTCTTCTCTACTTTGAAATGGAGGCTCAGGAACTTTGACTCTTTGTCCTTATCATTTGTAGGGGCCTGTCATAGAGCTGGCTGCGCGGTGTTCTGTCCAGGCCCCTTGGCCACCGTTGCTCTGCTGCTGTGGTACCATGAGGGACATGAAGCTTCACTAGGGCTCAGAGTCACTCCAGAACTCACCTTGGGGAGGGAGACCCTAGTCTTTCCACCCTGGGAGCCCCGCATGTTGACCTGAGGCATCTATTCTACAGCCTGTTCCCCCAGCACTCAGCTAGGGTAGGAAGCAGGGACCCCAAACCTGCGTCCATGTTCTCATCCTCTGATTTGATACAGCTCACAAGGCAAGGATGGTTTTTACGTTTTTAAATGGCTGAAAAGAAGAATAATAGTTTGGGACACATGAAAATTATATAAAATTCAAATTTCTGCATCCATAAACTTTTAGTGGAACACAGTCATACTCATTCCTTCACATATTGTCTATGACTGCTTTTGTGCAACCATAGCATGGTGGAGTACTTGCATTGGAGACTATGAGGCCCACAAAACCTGAAATATTTACTGTCCAGCCCTTTGCGGTAAAGGTTTGAGACCAACCCCTGGTCTAGGCTGAACTCTCCCTCTCCTGGTAGCTGTGTATAGTCAAAGCTACTAGTGCTCCCAGAAAGGTGGGGAAGAGCAGATGAGACAACTTCTACCACCAGCCCAGCAGCTGTCAGAGTAGGGGCTGTGGCTTTTATCATTATTCTTAGGACCAGTACATATTTCTCTGATGGTAAATAATTTTCAGTAACTCCAAGTTCAAAAGTTATCTTCATAACCAAATTTATTTTTATATATCTTTGGAAGAAAAGGTTACTACTTCCTTGTCATAAGTTACTTTTCTACAATGTTATAAAAGAATGAATTGATGAAATAACTTCCAAGCAGGAAGATGATCTCAAACCAGTTCTGGTTAATTTGTAGCTCAATCAGACAATTAGAACCACAAACTCAGGTGTTAAAAACACTGAGGACTGGCCGGGTGCGGTGACTCACGGCTATAATCCCAGCACTTTGGGAGGCCAAGGCGGGCAGATCCCAAGGTCAGGAGATCGAGACCATCCCAGCTAACACAGTAAAACTCCATCTCTACTAAAAACAGAAAAAAATTAGCCAGGCGTGGTGGCGGGCGCCTGTAGTCCCAGCTACTCAGGAAGCTGAAGTAGGGAGTGGCACGAACCCAGGAAGCGGAGCTTACAGTGAGCCAAGATCGCGCCATTGCACTCCAGCCTGGGCGACAGAGCAAGACTCCATCTCGAAAAAACAAAACAAAACAAAACAACAACACCGAGGACTATCCATATATTAAAATAATTTTGAGTGCGTGTGTGTGTGTGTGTGTGTGTTGATCAGTTCAACAAACTGGATTGAGAATAGGAGTAGAGAATTTATCCTCTTGAGGGAGATTTTGAATCTGATTATAGATTTGTATTGTTTAAAATGTGCAGTCCGTCTCTAAACTCATGGACTAGGAAAAGGCTTGGTGGGGGTGCTAGGAATGTAGCCATCTTTTGTTCAACTTCCAGAAAGCCAGACTGAAGACTTGACAACATAACAGTAAGTGTATGAACTTGTCTGTTCCTTTGGGCTTTCAAAAATTCGTTTATTCAACTTTCACTTACTGAGAACTCATCACTTACCCTTACGATGCATTATATTAGGAGCAAAAGGCTACAAAGATATATGCCACCATCTCTGCACACAGAGAGAATCCAGTAAAGTAGGCGGGTTTTCTTGGTTGTAAGGAGCAGACTCATCTAGGTTAGCTTAGGAGGGGGATGTTTTGTAAGAGCAAATGTGGAACATTAATGGAGTTGGTCTTCCACGGAAGTCAGGAAGAGGCATTGGAAGGGAAAGGCCTCACTACCCTGGTACTGAGGAGCCACTCTGGTTCCAGGAGACTCCAGGACTCTGTGGCAGGAGTTAGGGGGCCACGTCCACTGGCCTAGCTCAGTCTCCCCTGAGCTGCTTCTTTCCCTTGGCCTGAAACTCTTCTCTCCACCATCACTACAGCTTGCTCATAGTTTCAATATTTTGCAACCAGGGCTTCCTACAACCTGTTGTAGCTCCAATTCTTATATTTTCATTTCAAAGCATCCTACCAAGTCTTTTTTTTTTCTTGACCTTTCTTTGGTTAAATTTCCAAGGAAGAAATGGCATTTAACCCAGCTTTTATGTGTGCATCAGGTTATGAGAAAAGTTGCTGACCAACCTATTGATTGCCTTTTTGCTAGGTGTCAACCCTGAACCAATCTGCTCTAGGGACAGGGTCATACACGGCAAAGTATCCTCACTTAGAGCTGCTCCTTTGGACTGTCCCTAGCAAGGTTAGTGGGAATGACAGAAAATGTGAGTAACTTGTTTACCATGGAAAAAATACATATAAAATTAGCTCTATACTATGAAAATACTATAAGTCAAATTCATTGGGCCAACATAGCTGCCCAGATGGTAGGGAAAGAAACAAAACCAAAACCAGGTAGGATTAGAGCTGGGGGAAGCTCTTGTCAACAGGGTTAGCTCTTCCATGGGTAGTTAGGAGGGCAACACCCAGGGGAGTCAGCAGCTTCAGGCTGAGTATTGTATCCAAGGGGTTTCCTGGCAGTCAGCCATCAGGAAGGCATTGTAAGAATTAAAGAAATAGGGGAGAAACACGAAGGGTGGCTTAACAGTTAACAGGTTTATTTTAAACTTTGGAGGGACTTCTGA